TTTCGTGGTATGGTATATAAGTTTTCGACCCAAAACCTATAGGATACTTCCGGTTGACCTAGAATTGACAATTTTTTGATTAAAAGCAAGGTCTTACAGCACAATTAAAGAGAAAATTCTGAAAAATAAAAAAAGTTGAAATTAAAGGTAAATTTTGGTACTTACAAGTTTTCGCAAAAATCGAAATTTGCCCAAATCTTTTTATCGTGTTGGCTCAAGACCTTGATTTTTATACACCTAATAGGGACCATAGATCTCAGTATCTGGTATAAATTTCAACTTGCTAGGTCTAACCGTTCCTGAGAAAATCGGTGGTGACACACGGATAGACGGACAGACGGACAAGAAAGTGATCTTATAAGGGTTCCTTTTTTACCTTTTGAGGTACGGAACCTTTATTAAGTTATAAAGTCTCCTGACATAAAAATCTACGTGCTTGTTGGCCCTCTTGTAAGTGTATTATGACTTTGCAATGCGAAACTGTCAAAGAAGATATTCAGTTAGCGGTCCCCCGACGCGACGACTCCCTTATTTAATTTTTGCTTTAGACTCATTTGTTAATTATTATTTGTTAATGCTAATTATTTATTTGTTAAGACGATAAGGATTCCGCTCTATCCCCATTTTTACGTAAAATCTCTCCGGGACGCAATAATATGAAACAAATAAAAGTTGTCCAGAACCTTCTGTCAAGTGTGATCTCCAACCTCATGGACTGATCTTTACATAGTAAAGACAAGAGGAGCACATACAATTTGTATTTATCTTGTCTGTGTAATTCATTAAACTTAATATCTTGTTTGTCTATCGCCTCTCAACAATCTTAGAATAAGATATTTAAATGCGGATAGGTTACTTTACTCAATCACTTCCCCTGCACAACACACATCATTATTGGGAATCGCGGAATTGCTCTTTTGTTCTGGGACCTGGCATCTTGCATTAAACACCTATGCTATAAATAATTCAAAATCTTCAAAAATCTAAAAATATACATATTGTTGCGTTAAAAATAAGTATCTATGATTAGAATAATTTTGAAAACCCTATAAATATACGAAATGTTGTATATCCAGGAGTTGCAGATGGTGGAGAAAGTCCTGGCTTTACAGCTATATAAACAACGTGGTGACGTTTTTATCTAACAATACTAACGAATGGCGCTTTGCTCTCGTACCCTCGAGGATAAACTCAAGCAATACCTACATATATTACAACGTCTGCACCATTTTCCAAGTAAGTCCAATGCCTCAACATTAATATGTAAATAGGTGTAGGTAAACATTACTATGTTAATAATAAATGTCTAGAGGGTTCTATATTTATTCTTTCATTAAATGGTTTAACCGGCCTGCTATGCATTTTAAATACTGTTTATTCAAATGAGTCACGTCACGGTATTCTATGACGTCACAACTCGGCAATAATTGTGACACAAATTAAATATAATGGGAATTTGCAAGTTAATCGACCTGAAAGGGCGGAGAGGACGGTCACGTGACTAGACCTTATACTTATATGATAAGGTTTATTAAGGGTTGATACTTATTTAAAGGTTGTTGTATCTGAACGAACAAACGAATTATCTAGGTCTATTACGTTTTAAATTTTTAATCTATATGAAAATCAATGGTGATGGTGCATTACTTCGTTTTTTTTAATATACCTTACACATCTCACACAAGGCCATCTGATCCCAAACCAATATTAGTAATTAGTTTAAAACTCAATATTAAACACTTGCAGAATCTTAAGAAAGTTTCTGAAAATAGATGAACAAATACACAATGCAATAGACGAATAGACCTAAACTTCTCCCACGAACCCTAAATGTCAATGTCACTAAAACACTACCAGCGAAAGCTGAGAAAGAACCAATTCAACATCAAAATAATAGTAATAGTTTTTATTTTCTTCTCTCCCACAGAATACACAAATAAAAAAAGAAAGTGAAACGATAAAAATTAAATGTACAATTTTATTCAGCAAATCTGTGTAGGACACTGGTATCTGTACTAGGAGACCTGTATGACAGATTACCAGACTCTACAGACTCTAGATAGGTGGAGTGCTGTGTAATGGAGGTATATTATTTGATCACTAAGAACAGGTTGAGAGGTTGTAAGGTGAAGATTAGGGATGGGTGAATTTGTGTGGTGTAGTGTGGTGTAAGTGTGACGTGATGTGGCGTGAATGGTTAGTAAGGTGAGTGGGTATCGGAGATGGATAAAGTGCACTAAATGATCGAAGAGGGAACATTGAGTAGATTTTCAGTTTCTTCATAAGTTAGAGTTTTTAGTGACAGACAGAGCCTGTGCTATGGTAACCATATATTTTTAAAAACGTACATATTATAGATAAATTATATCCAGACACAGATCAAATGACGGTGCTCATTACACTATATTTGTCCCGGGTGGGAATCAAACCCACGACCTCCGCTTTGCAGTCAGGGTCACTAACCGCTAGACAAACAGGACCGTCAAATTTATCTCACAAACACACCCGTGTAACAGTTAACGATTGTCGTTCTAAGCTTTCTATCATCTTATCTTATACTTTAAAAAAAGCTCGTGTCACAATGTTAGTAATAATTCTCCTCTGAAACGGCTGGGCCGATTTGTATGAAATTTTGTGTGCACATCGGGTAGGTCTGAGAATCGGCCAACATCTATTTTTCATACCCCTAAATGACAAGGGTAACCCAACCCTACATTTTTTATTCAATATTGCCTAGAAATAATGTATATGGCAAAACAACGTTTGCCGGGTCAGCTAGTTTATTTATATATTTGATTGATTACGTCAAATTTGGTATTGTACATAGTTGTTACAATAATACTGCATGTTCAACTGTAATTACTACTAAATTGCATTGCCTTAGATATATTGATATCCTTATAGGGTATTGTATTATTAGATATAAAATTGTACTATTATATCTTCAATTAAAAATATAAATGGAACTATTCTATTCTTCGGTCACAAAATTAATTTATACTTCCTTAGTCGATGAATAGTTTAACAATGATAAAATTTTATGTATACTCGAGGACACAACTAAATCTCTTTTGGCAAGACACTATAATACGATCATAATTGTGATTGACAATCATAAAGTCCCAAATGGCAGTCAAGGTCGGCACTAAAATGCGTCTGGTTATATTATAATACTCACATATAATGCGTCGCTTAATAGGCCATATAAAGAAATCGCTTTGGTAAAAGGAAACATTTTCTGAGATTTCCACCGTCAAACTTTTCAATAGCACTCAAACTGCACTTATGAAAATTGGCTTTCTCTACTTACAATTGAGCACAAAGCCTTCCTAATTATCCCGTATAACTTTATTGCAGAACATTTACCAATGTAATAAAATTTGAACCTTTTCATCATTTACTTACGCAAACATTTCGATAGACTTCAAAAATTCTATCCTCCCTCTCTTTCTACTTTATTTGGGTTTCGTGATGTTCTTACCAAGTTGTACCTAATGATGACTGATTAGACTATTTCTTAATAGATTTATAATTTTTTTGACCTTGTATATGCAAATCACCAGCTTTAAACAAGCAGCTTATAGAAAAGTGCCCTCCATTTAACTCGTGCTTATATATTCGATTTCGAAGTTATTGACCAATAGCGAAGATTAATTGATTTGCCGTTGGTTAATTCGCAAGCATATCTTGCTCGCAGGAGCAGACAGCGGAGTTCCACGCGCTCTCACTCCGTATCATGGCCGCAATCACATTATTGAGCGAGAGAATTCCCACTCCGATGGCCGCCACGAGGTCTCTTCTCTGCTCCACCCAAGGCGGCGTATGGAACGCCGTGTCAACGGTCCGGCCATCGCAGTGATAACACTCAGGCGTTGGCTCCTTGCGGATCAGACTCAGGTGATCTCCGAAGCATCCTTTCTCGGTGATCACCTGCGTCAGCCGGTATGAGTAGGAAGGTATTTAACACTATACCTGTAAACAGTACCTAGCTCTGGAATATTATGAATACTAAACTGAAAGGAAAAGTAAGAAGAGAAGATAAAATGATATTTATTTTTGCAAGTAAATCTTACCAGACATTTTCTCAAGTCGGCATTTCCTAAAACTCACTCTGGGAAGAAACACCGAAACAAACCACAGAGGTGTCTTTTTTTTTAAGTCCGTGTACAAGTTAAAGAGAACAATTTGAGTGCAGTATAAGGTCACCAGAAAGTTACTAAAATATAAGCATTTTCACACAGTTATTGTTTTGAATTATTCAGGAATTTCACTGTAGAATCGCACACCCTGACATCAAAAAGACTTGCTTACTCTTTGTAGTCTAGTCGGCAACACGAGTTTATCTTTACTTTTAGTGTTTATATTATGAATGTCGCTAAACTCTGTGCATAAATGAATATTTTTCTTAACATACACTACATTTTCATATATATATTGAGAATCGACTGTCATATTACACATTTCTTTAAACTTATACCTCAGTGAGATTATAATCGCACGAATAGCTCTCTGTTGCAACACAAAGACACTTTGAATGTCAGCAGCATTTCCCCACAACAAAATACCGTATGACATTATACTATGAAAATAGCTAAAATACACTAGTCTAGCTGTTCTTACATTTAATTGCCGAATTTTATAAACCGCGTATGCTGCAGAGCTGAGTCTGTTTGACAATCCATCAATGCGTGGGCCCCACTGCAGTTCAGAGTCTAGAGTTATACCCAAAAACTTAGTGGTGTCCATAAGATCCATCTCCTTTACATTTATTAGAACACTAGTCTTTTTTTAAATCGGAGGTAAAAGTGCATGGAGTGCACTCGATCGTAAGTTCAATGCCTTAATAATCACGCTACGGTTACTAAATGGCGGGATTACATTGTTAATAAATACTTTAAATGTAAAAAAATACACTAGAAGTTGTCTGTTTGTACAGAACCGTTGGCTGTCAAACTTTTGTTGACACAAATGAAAAACATGTAGAAGTTTTAAGTGAGCAAATGTCCGACATCGCCGTGAGTGAGGGCGCCGCAGCGCGCCGCAGCTCGCCGCTGGAGAATGTTAAAGGTTCACCCTCGTCAGGGCGCGTGTTTATTTTTGCTCGGGAAGGGTTCAACTCCTGTAGGTATGTGTAATATTATCTCCAGATAATTTAGAGCGTCCTTTGAGTAAATATTTTATTAAAATATCGTTTTAGAGACCTGAAAGTATAAAAGTAATTTAAAGAATTCTTTTTTTTTATCAACTGCAAAAAATCTTTTACGCTGGTAATTTTCGCTTGTATACTGTCTATTAAGTATAGGTTGAAACGTACCTTATAGATTGAGATCTTTTAATCCATAAGAAGTTTACAGTAAACGCGGGGAATTTATTAGTCGCTAAACCGAATATCTTGTCAATCATCACAAGAATGACTAAACCATCCGAGTGAATAGGCATCTTCTATGTAAATGAGTGCCTTGCCGGTCTTTAGGTGGGAGTACATTTTTACCCCTTTTCTTGAAGGTTTGGAGGACATGTCGATCCGGAAATCCCGCAAATGACAATTCGTTTTACAGGACGGTTATTTTTCTGCATGTCTCTATTTTTGTGGGTTCTTATATCGGTAGCAGAGCCAAACATGAACCTCTGAATTAAAGGTGTAATTATAAAAGGTCTTAGGCCGATTTTGCGTATTTGGCGCCTCATCTAAACTTCTTCCAAGGGCTTTACTTCAAATACGATCAGTTAAACGTGTACGCAAAATATCATGAGTATGCTTACAATTACACAAGCTGTGTATTCGTTTTCGCTAGAGATTCTCCTGAACTTCACGGTGAGTACTGTGCAGGCAAGTGTAGGCGTCAGATACATCAATCTTGTAACACTATTAAGAGTAATGAGCGGCGTGTCCTTGTCCCCGTCACCTTCACTGCTCGAATGTGATTACTGTTGTTCGCGAGAAAGTTTTCTTAATCACGTAATTATGGAATTGTTCCATGATTACGTGATTACTTCCACATCATGAATCAATGTTTCACGGACTTCTTGACTTCACAACAACACTCGACTTTTATGTATAACGGTTACGAGCAGACGGGTCACCTCATAGTAAGTGGCTACCACTGCCCATGGAAACTTGGAGCTCAAGAGTCACAGGTGTGTTGCCGCCTTTCGTTTGCCCTCCCCGCCCCCCAACAACAGAGGGAGTTGAGCCGAGCTGATGTACCCCAGCATAGCCACACGATCGTGTTGTCATTGTCGTATTAATTGTGACACGTAGCATTGCATTATCTGTCATAGCATTGGCCATAGACATTATAGATACTGAAGTATATGTGAATATAATAAAAGGATATGTAAATTTTGTTATTACTGGTATTTATGAGCTGCTGTGGTGCATTTACGAGCGGTTCTGCGAAGTAACGAGAGGATGCCATTAGATGAGTGGTAAACTACGTTACTTAGAGATTATATTTTCTACTTTTGGTGAAATTTAAAATCGTTTATCCCTTTTTTGTCATTTAAACATATTTTTTTCGAAAGAAATTAACAACACTCGACAGAGATTTTATACACGAAGTAATCTTTTTATTCAATAAAAAATGAAATATATCCTGGGTTCGTCCGGCCATTTTATCTAACCGATTTGCTTATTTTATTTAATAAAAGCAACTGATGAATATATTTGTCATCAATGATTGGCATATCACACTTCTCAAGTTATTCTCAAACGTGATTTCCTATTTTCCTTTCTTTTCATTCCTTCAATCGTTTCAGTCTGTTCTTAGATAAAAATGAACTCATTTTTATAACGTTGCAGGGTGCACAATACACCTTTTAACATTTTGAGAAGTACTCTGATACTAAATAATGTTTGGGTTTTGTTTGTAGTTTAAGATTTATTTAGGTATAATTTTAATAATTTTGATAATACAACCTACAAATCTATAGGGAAGTGCTACTTTACTGTGACAAAAATGTATTTGAACAATGTGCAGATAACCTGATAAATGAATAGTTACACAATATCCTGATACTCCACTTTTACCCATCCACGTCTCGAACGTAGATGAACAGTTTTAAGTTTGCGACGGCGCGGCGGCGCGCTGCGCTAGGCAACCATGCCTCATCGCGGGTCTGTGTCACTGGGAACAGAATTAAGTGCGTAAACGTAGTAACGGTTTTAATACTCACCATTAAAATGATCTTATTCTATATACAAACATCTTTTTACGAACCTACTATTGCTTGGATAACATTAATAGCACATAATCTTGTATTACAATAACTAATTCATTGTGTCAATTGTTTGTGAGTTTCCACTCCAAGATACAAGAACATCTTTTGTTTAGTAAGACGTTAGACGTTTTTACGTTACGTTTTTACAAAAACGCCACTGAGAACAATATTCTTACCCCTATTACATAACAGTTTAATAGTAATTAATGTTTCATAAGTAATAATGCGTCTGATGCCGCAATCTAACTGACTGACTAAAGGTAACAGTTCATCGTCGAGCTAAAAGTGAATAATTTATTGGATGACGTCATGGAGGTACAAAAAATCTTTCAAATGCATGATTTACTAAAATCGAAGACTTACATTAACTACGATACGCAATATAATACAATATAGTGGCAATTATGGCGCCAGCATATTGAGAAGCACTTATTATGAGCGCCGTCCGCGCCACATCACCGCGGCCCAATGATTCAGTATCAGCGGTGCGGCAGTGTGCGTATTTCACAATGCAGTTATACATTAAACTGTATTGTGAAACTGATCAATAAACTTTATACATCTGTAACATGACAGGATACCTCATGCCTATATCGATCGACATATATCCAACTACAATTTTAGTCCCACTTCGTAATAGAGGCAACAAGCTTCAACCGAGCACTTAGGAGTATATTAAAGGAAGTAGCAAATAAGAAAAGAAGGTAGTGGCAAAGGGATATTGATGGCACGGCTGAATTGGCTATTTTCGGTTAGTCGAAAGCCTTTTCAAATCAAGAAATGAAATAAAACAGTTTATATTCAACACTAAAGTAATGTTAAAATGAAAATAACAAGAAATAAAATTTAAAATAGTTTTATTATATTCAAGAAAGTTATAATAAAACTAAACTATTCCGTATAACGATCGTAAGTATAGGGTTTCACATATATTATATGTGTTTATTACCTTCAGTAACAACCTTATAGTTCAATTTTACTATTCAATCATAAACGTAATTGACTGAGGTCTTGGTAAATACAAGTATTCCACCTGTAAACACTTACGGTTTTGTTTATGCGGTACAGATATGTAGGTAGATACATAAATATATGTATAGTTATTAAGGTATTATAATTGCGAGTACTTAACCCATTGGCACGCTGACGCACTATTTGTTTCAGAACTTTCCGTACGGCTCGGAGACGAGCGATGACGCAAGGTTGCCTAGCGCCGTCGTACAGTAAACACGATACATCAATGGAGGAGATAACATCATAGAATTGTCTATTGTGTGATTTAACACATCACCGTCATAGTGTTGCAACACACATTCATCTCTGTCACACTAACATAACTCTTCCCTATAGATTGACAGTTCGTGTTATCTAATTAAGGTGTTTTTAAAACATTATACTGTGTCAAACAGTTTTAAAACTATAATGATTTTAATATAGTTCTTGAATATATCTTAAGTATAGTAGTATAATTAATTTACCGCTAACAAAGATAAAAGAGCTGACGGTTGGCGCTCTTTCGCAGCGGGGGGCAAACCTGCCGACCACTGGTTAAGTCCTGCGCCGGGTCAAGACTGAAGCCCCTTAGTCGCCGACGCAGACAGAGGGTGTTGCTGGAGGGCGACAAGGTTCGCATTGGGATGCGGAGATGAAAATCCCTTCAATGGCTTCATGGAACGCATTCATCGCCGATTCAGGGCTCGTAAAACGTGTACCTATAACTTTGTCTTTAATTTTTGGAAACGGAAAGAAGTCGGGGGCGCGAGTTCTTTCCGTTTCCAAAAATTCCAGGCTGTAAGGCGGATGTGTCATCAATTCCTCATTTGAAGCCTTCAAATAGGCTTCTGTTACCTTGGCCGAATTTGAGGATGCGTTATCGTGGTGAAGAAGGTCATTGCTTCGAGAACGCTTTGTGTATTCGTAGTTTAGAGAATTTAGACGTAGATCGTCTAAATTCTCCAAACTACGATAACACAGAGCTGTGACATGGTGCTTCATCACCAAATGCCAATTGAAGTCTCTGGAAACTCTGTTGTTGACTTAAGCCACAACGAAAATGAAAGAGACACACAAATTTCGAAAGGACGCCACAATGAAAAAACAAATGACAGTCTCGCAAATTAAAAAGTAACATTTTTCCAAAGAGTTCCATTTTCCAAATACCTTTTTTTTTCTTAAACATCAATACACTGACGCCTTCATTCTTTAAGGAATATACAGGGGCGTATTAAACGTGTAATATGTGCATATGAGGGGTGCAAGGGAACTAATTTGTCAAAATAATAACCCATGTACCTACATTTTGCAATAAACAATAAATAATTACTAACACCTAGTTTGGGATCAGACGGTTCTGTCTGAGATGTCTCAAGTTATTATTACTTATAATTAATGACGAAGTTTGGAAGGATGATTATTCTCATTTAAAACAAAGAAGATCAAACCTTTGAATTTTTGCAGAAAAACGTATAAAGTTCCCTTTTTTAATTTTGCATCTCTATCTCTCCAATTTTCCTCTCTCTAACTCTCACTCAATACGATTGGGAGATTAACACTAAACTGAATAAACGTAAATAACAAGAGAGTAAAATATTCCCCACCAGTTTTCTAAGTCAACATTCTTAGCGAGCAAGCCTTCGTCGGACAGGAATTTCCCATTAGACGCGACAAATGACAGCGATTAATACACCCTCGACATTTCTTCAACACATAATCTGTTTGCCTTCATAAGACCTATGGACGTGTGCGGGTTGGGATACCGAGGATCTTACGGCAAACATTCAAGTTGAGCCTGATTATATCGGTTACGTCATTAATTGTATAAAGTTAATCTGCCAAAACTATCTCTTGAGCACTTTTTTGTTAAATATTAGCTGGCCTGCACCTTGTATTTAATAAGTCTGACTCCATATTTCTGATGAATTTTCAAAACATCAGGAATATGAAGTAGTAAGGAAAGAGAAAAAAAAATGTAGTGGAATGTAGACGAAGATAGCAAAAAGGCTGGTAGTAAGGCAATTGAATTTTCCGGGCTTTTTACTATGTCAAATTCCACAATATACTGAGTCTACCAATAGGGATGACCTGGTTTGGACAACTCATAGCGGCCATGTTTGATGATGGATCTTTGATGTCTCTTGACATTTGTGTTCAGTAAGGTTTGCCATTTTATCATGTCACGTTTCACTTTAAACCAACGCTTGGAAATTGTCCAAAATTATTACGCAAATTCGCGTTCTCCTTCCGCTACAGTAAGAGCGCATATTTCTTTATTTTTCTTTCCGAATATTTCTTTCCGGAATTCGATAATATTGATGTAGACGACCTTTATTTTCAACAAGACGATTCACCACCTCACATTACCCGAGTGAACATGGAATTATTGTGTGGAAAGTTTGGTGAGTCGTTAATTTCGAGAAATGGACCGATCAGTTGGCTACCAAGATCGTGTGATTAACACCTTTGGACTATTTTCTTTGGGGTTACGTTAAATCTCAAGTGTACAACAATAATCCAGCTACAATTCCTGACCTAAAAACCAACATTCGACGAGCCATAGCCGACATACCGGCCGAAATGGTGCACCGTGTCACCGCAAAAATTGGCGTGAGCGGGTGACCGTCTGCAAAAAGAGCCGCGGCGGTCATTTGGCCGATATATTATTTAAAACATAAATTGCATAAAATTATCCGTCAAATAAATCAATCGGATGCATTTTTCATAAAAAAAATGTGTGTTTTATTCAATTTTTAAACCAGGACGTTCTTATTGGTAGACCCCATATATATCTACACTAAATTCCATTCAGTGGTTTTGGTTTGATTGCGACTAACATCGACCCACTAATCCAAACTTTCACATTTACAAGATAATAAATTTATATAAATTACTAAGTCTATTACCACTTTCAAGACTTTTTTTCAGTGAATACCAATTCTTTATAATTTACGTTAAGATTAACCAAACAAAAAATATACCAAAAGGAACTGCGCACAGAAATGGAAACAAATTGATTATCATATGAAAAGATTGTTAAAGCCAATTGTTTGGATCTAGCGAGCTTACCTAAAGCCAGGGAGATTTAGACGGAGGCATGCACACGATGATATTTTCATACGAACGAGTTTATTCTGCTAACATTATTTTATTTACTTGTACCAATATTTACGGTCTTCCTTTCTTAAAGCAGCTGATACAATACCGGAGTAATACAGTTATTACTTGGGCGGTGTACGCATCTAAATGCAGAAAGGGTCGTTTCACTAAGGGAAGTGTCGAAAAGAACCACAAACGTATCAGTGTATTTGGAGTCTGGACTAAAGTTCCCCACCACCAAGGAGATTTTTTTTTGTGATGCGTCGCCACCACAGAAATATATCTCCTTGGCGTTAATTAAAATGTTGAGTTTGTACCGTGGGAAAAGGTTTTTTAATTATTAATGAACTAGTAAAGTAAAGAATCGGTTCAGCAGTTTAGCCGTGAAAGCGTAAGAAAGACAGACAGAGTTACTTTCGTATTTATAACATTTATATAGATAATTTAAATTTCGAAAAAACTAGGATTGTTATTTTTTTCCACAACGTATTATTAAAATATGTTCTCCATTCACTACACAGTTCATGAAGTCGGTGGTATTTTTTCAACGCAGCTGACAGTTTTAACAAATTAGAACAAATAAAATATATAAAGTATGTATTACATTACCTATGTACTTCTGTGGACTGCGATAGACCCTCTCACCTACTTATTATATTATTATACCTACTTATATACTGTAGGAAAGCCAAGCTCCGTCATATATACCTAGGCCGACCGGAGTGATACTACAGTCTTGCTTTTCACCGAGGGAGTGAGGTTACCGGAGGCATAATCCCTCTCCCTATATCTAGGAGGACCACTCAAAGGGCGACAATGCTCTTGAATGACAGATATCCATGAGCGACGGTAGTCACTTACCATCAGGTGACCTTTCTGGTCGGTCTCTTAAAAATCCGGACAAGTGCGAGTCGAACTCGCCCGTCGAGGGTTTCGTACAAATTTGTAGGTACATATTATAAAGATATATTTCAGGAATTCAGTTTCCAAAACCTGTAATTACTTTTACTATCGTGTTTTATAAGTGAAAGTGTACCTAAATGATTGATTACGTACTTTAAAAAAGACTATATCTTTTTTGATTTAATTACAAATGTATTGTTTTCAGATTTTTGCTAGATGATTACTCTTACTCTATACTCTACTATTCTAGGTCAATGGAAGTACCCCATGAATTTTGATTACCTTGAGAGTGTCGAAATATACGTTTTGAAGTTTAATTTTTTACAGCTTTAAGAGACTGTAGACGTGAGTATATGGTTTTAATCTGGATACCTCCACGCGCTCCCAAGATAAAGAGTCTTGACAGACAGACGGACGGACAAACAGACGGACAAAAAGTGATCCTATAAGGGTTCCGTTGTTTCCGTTTGAGCCACGGAACCCTAAAAAGGCATATTGATCGATGACTGACTTAAAGAATCAGTCGAACATCCAAATGCTAAATAATATATTAAACAATCCTAAGAATTATAATTTGGTTGTGAGCAGGTCGTGTATGACAAATCAATCAGCGTTAGGTTCCTCATCCTCCACAATATTAACTTTACGATCCGTCTTAAACATGTTACACCTTTTCCCATTAGTTAAACTGCAAATGATCGATCATAAGCTAAGCGATAGATCACTCTGTACGTGTTTGTTTGTGTGCCCGCGACACAGAGCCAGCGCTCTGGTGGAGGTTCAATTATTTAACTATGGAAAAGCAAACCGATCCAGTAATCGATCAAACTGTAAGCATATATAGGTAGCTGCTCAATGCCAAACACGGCTACTAGAGTTCTTTCAATCCTAGCGGCATACAGTTAAAGGATTAATATTATTTAACGGGAATTAACGCGATCTCTTATTTAGGGTCAGCCTGTGACCACGGCCGGTGCAACCTGGTCGAAACGTCAGGCAAACCAGAGGTATGTAATACCCTAAATAAGAGATCGCGTTAATTCCCGTTAAATAATATTAATTATCATGGAACGCGAAAGTTTAAAAGTTAGTATAGTTAAAGGATTTTTTCCACAACAGCAGAATAGCAGTGCTCATTGGAATTGCGAGTATGGCTGAAATCCTATCATGACCCTTTACTAGCAGAATTTCGAAGCTCTGTTAAGTTCTATGTTGTTTAACACACAGATTATGATGTAACTCCATTGTTACAATGTTGTATTTAAA